GAGGCTGGGACTGCTGACCCCAGGCCAGGAGGAAAGGGCCGGGCCTCTCCCCAGCCTGTGGCACCCCCAAGCTGAGGTCACCGCTGCCCCTGGGGCCGTGGCTCCGGCTCCAGCCCTGCCACAAAGCACGTGAGCCCGTTTGCCACAAGCGGGTGAGGAAGGCCGGGCCGGGCTGGCAGAGGTAGTGGCACCCTAGGCTGCAGGGCCGGGAGCACCAGGCACGAGACTGCAGCTGGCTCCTACTCTTGCTGGTACGGCTGTACCCACAGGCCGTGTCACAACAAGCCCATGCGTGCAAAGGAGGGAGGCAGAGCACATGCCAGGGGCTGGCCGTGGCCTGCCGTAGGGCCAGGAGCCGAGATGGAAGCCAGGAGCAGAGGCCGGGGCCAGGGGGTTTATTGGTTGAAGGGGCGGTAGGTCACCATGTGCCGCTGCACGCTCTGGGCGATCTGGGCCTCGCTCTTGCCGCGGGTGTAGTAGTCCAGGAAGAGCCCGTCGGGCGCCAGCAGGTAGATGAGCACCGTGTGGTCCACGATGTAGTCGCCATCCACGTCGGGAGCCCCAGCGCTGGCGTAGACGCGGTAGGCCTTTGCCACCTCCCGCACGTCCTCAGGGCTGCCCGTCAGCCCCAGCAGGCGCGGGCCAAAGTCCCGCACGTACCGGGCCATGGCGGCCACGTCGTCGCGCTCGGGGTCCACGGTGACGAAGATGGGCTGCACGGGCGGCAGGTGGGGGTCGTTGTCCAGCAGGCGCACGACCCCGACCAGCTTCTCCAGCTCTTCGGGGCAGATGTCAGGGCAGTGGGTGAAGCCGAAGTAGAGCAGCACCCACTGCCCGGCGAAGTCGGCCTTGCGCCGCGGCCGCCCCGTGTGGTCCACCAGCTGGAAGTCTCCCTGGCCCACGGCCACGCGCCGCAGCTGCTCCACCCGCTGCTCCAACTGCTGCAGCTCCTTCTCCCAGCGCAGGTACAGCCACGTGCCCAGCCCGCCGGCCCCCAGCAGCACCGCCACCAGCAGCCGCGTCTGCAGCCGCAGCGGGGCCTTGCCCCCGGCTCCTGCCCGCCCAGACAGGGCTCGCGCGGGGCTGGTGAGGGGCTCCTGTGCCGGGAGCCTCGGGCTGGGCCAAGGGCAGGTGTGCGATGCAGGGCGCGGGGGGCGCCCTCCTCGCAGAGCAGGGCAGGCGCGCGCGGCCCCGCGCACCCGCAGCAGCAGGGCCAGCAGCATCCTGGGCTGGAAGACAAGGGAGCCCCGGGCTGGGCGCAGGCTCCCCGGGGCCACAGAGTGTGTGTGTGTGTGAGAGTTGGGGGGGCAGGGACGGGGGCCAGGGCCTTGGAC